GTAATGCAATTTCACTCTCGGTCTCATTCACAGTCGAATTTCAGCCGACTTGCGCTTTACGTCATTGAAAAAGCTAGAGCGTCATCAGAGTTGACCTTTCAGCTTCAAATCAACCATGACCCGGAAATGATCGTTACACGTGTGTGTTTTTATTTTGCGGTGTGTGTGTGAACTGGCTGTGGTTCAAGATTTCGGGGCAATGACGACAGAAAAACGGTAGGAATTTTGCTAAAATTGTGACTTTTTATGTTGCCGTATGCAGACCACAATTTGTCGACACTCTTAAATGTTAAATTATCTGTGTCATGTACAATTTTCACGAATTTGTCAACTTGAGCCGACCATTGAGGTATTTTTACCTACACGAAGAGACCATGCCATATGTACTGGACAGACACCCACTCTCTTATTGCCATGGTTTACCCATTGTACCGTCCATGAATTATCAACATTTTAACAGTATGCTTTTGCATTATTTATAGCCATGGAGCGCTGGCACTATCAAGTTACTAACTTTAATGACCTGAAACAATGCACTAAGTTGTACACCAATTTCGCCAACGTGTTTTTTACGTAGTAAATAGCGCCATCGGTGTTATGTTTTGTTATTACTGATGACAGGGTTTGATTTTAATTAAAGGTGAATCTTTGAAGAAATGTAGTGGTGGGAGTGTCCGAAAAAATTGTATTTTTTACTTTTTAAAGTTTACATCATGTTTTTACAAAAGACACATTTTCGTGAGCTTTGGGAAAATCACTTTAGTTCGATAAATAGTGTTTTATTTTTGCATTTTGTGTAGTCTTGTGTGCAAGTAATTCACCATTCTCTGTTTAACCTTGTTCAGTGTTGAGATAAAAATTATTATGTTAATGTTGCCATTTATTTATTTTGTAAAAGTTTGTGGGAAGTCGTATTTTTGGACGTAATATTCTTTATAATACCAGCAGTCCAGCAGTCAGACAAGACAAGTACTTTCAAGAGTAGAACACAAGTTGTTTATTCGTGAACATAACATAGAAGAGCCCTGAAACAATTACAATGGATGCTTATATACCCTGGTGGGGAGTCTGAATTCGAGCGGGGAAACTTAGATACAAATATACAATACTGTGATTGGTCAATAAAAATGTTGTGGTGTTGTCTCTCACGTTCGCTCATAACACAGTGTTCAAGGTCGTATCCCGTTTTGTTACATTCAAGCTTTGGCGGTATATACGATGTATAAAGCAGTATAATAATATAAAACGATACACAATATCAGTAACAGTAGTAAACAGTAAAGTCTATCCATATCTATTTCCGACAAAGTTCAAATCTGACCACTATGCATACATGTGAAAACGGCATGTTTTTTTTCTGTTTTTTTTTTTTAATGTTAAATTTATCTGCACTGTGTGGATGAACAGGAATGGGTTTGAAGTGGACATGCAGTAGTTCTCATGTGAAAAAATATGTCAAACTACTGAAACTAATGTATCTTTAGAAATAGGTCAATAAAATCATAATTGAATCAATTGTGTTTTTACTTTTTTCCTCCCATAGAATTCCATGTATTTATTCCATGATCATAAAAAAAGAATTATAAAACGTTGTTTTTTTTACAAAATCACCGACATTTTATAGTCTTTTGATGTGTTCCAATCATTCTAGGAACGGTACCTTAGTAGTGTCCCTTTTGTGTACACATTGATTTGTGTAACAATAAAAGCTGACATCTTCGTTAATACGTGCAGCACTACGACCACCTTTCTTTAAAATATTACCATTACCGCAGCAAATAAAAGACATTAATAGTGCAATCTCTAGTACCGATAGTGACGACACTTTGAGGTCTGATTCATTCCTTCAGAGAAAATAGCAAAAATAAATTTCAAGTGCAGATAAAGTAATTTAATTATAAATTTTCCATACTTTCAGATCTCCTGGCTTCATAATAATTTTGTTGTTTAAAAATATTGTCTCATTTCAGATGCGAGGTTTGCAATGAACACATTGCCAAATATCGCTGTCCTCGATGTACATTAAGAACATGCAGGTAAAATGAGTTTTGCCATTATGGTGTATACTGTGTTGGTGTGCATGTCTACTATAATCCTTGTAGGAAGCACTTAGAAGGTCAGTTAGGTCAAATGAGAACTCAATATTACTTTTTCAATTTTGTCTTCGGTAGTTTGCCTTGTGTGAAGACACACAAACAGAACAACGACTGTGACGGCATCCGAAATAAAGTTAGTTATGTCACGGTCAAGAATTTCACTGAAAGTCACCTAATAAGCGGTATGTATTTCTTTTGTATCATACACCTTGTATTTCCTGGCCTCGTAGCTCTATGGGGAGTACGCCTTCTAATCAGGTCAATAATTTCTTGTAACACGCCCGGCCCAGCATGCTCGTCTTTCATCAATCAATAGTTATGTTGTGTGTTTGAGGTCAGGCTGTCGTAAAATTGTAATGACACCTATAAGGCATATGATAAAGCCATATCCAGTCCATACAGATTATTATGAGGTGTGACTGTGCAAGAAAGGTCATTTGGGGTGATGTGAAGGTCATTTGATGTGACTGGAATAAAGGCCATTTGAGGTGATGTGAAGGTCATTTGGGGTGATGTGAAGGTCATTTGATGTGACTGCAACAAAGGTCATTTGAGGTGACATGAAGGTCATTTGGGGTGACACGAAGGCCATTTGGGGGTGACACAAAGGCCATTTGGGGGTGATATGAAAGTCATTTGGGGTGACATAAAGGTCATTTGATGTAACTAGAACAAAGGTCATTTGAGGTGACATGAAGGTCATTTGGGGTGATATGAAGGTCATTTGATGTAACTAGAACAAAGTTCATTCGAGGTGACATGAAGGTCATTTGAGGTGATATGAAAGTCATTTGGGGTGACATAAAGGTCATTTGATGTAACTAGAACAAAGTTCATTCGAGGTGGCATGGAAATCATTTGGGGTGACATAAAGGTCATTTGATTTGACATAAAGGTCACTTTAGGTGACTGGGCAATAAAGGTGATTTGGGGTTACATACATGTTTTTCGAGGTGGCATAGAGATCATTTGGGGTGACATAAATTTAAGATGACTTGGAGGTTATTTAAGGGTTAGAAGTCAAATAATATGACAAATGCCAAATTTAGAATATTGAATTCCAGCTTGGACACACTAATTACAAAAAGTTATTGATCTTCAGATTTGAGAGGAGACAACAAATTAAATAACGATTTTGAAAAAACATTAATAAACATAACTGTCTTGATATGCGCAAACATTTTTTTCTGACAGCCAAAAAGTTGTGAATCTGTCAGAAAGTTAAAGTAAAAAACTTGGAAGATAAAAAGAAAATATTTATAAAAAAGAACTGTCAATTAGTGCTGCAGCTAAAAGTATATTTACTCTAAAAGTGTCAATGTTTAGCTTAAAGAGTTGGAAACTTCTACTCTATAATACTGTGGGGAGAACCATGATTTAATTTGCCAGCCACAAATTATTACCAATTTATATTTTAAATCTGACTGAACATAAATACGCCTGAAAATTACAATTTTTTCTACTCATTAAAGCTAAGCCAGGTTCTTTGAATTAAATTTGAACTCTGGTTCTATAAACACAGTTTGCACAGATTTCTTTCTCCTGGTTTTTGGCATCACCAGTTTCCATAGAAGTATTACTACATGTGTCTCTCCTTTTTTTACCAAAACACTATGATGTACTGTGGAATACTTTATTTTCGCTGCAATTAATTTTCGCTGAAAAGGCTTTTCGGGCATTTTGTATGGAATTTATTTTCACTGATTTTTGATGAGTTTAATGTAAAATATAGGAAAAAAAGTATATTCGCTGTATTTTATTTTCACGGAATCATCCCTTCAGTATAAATAGCGAAAATAAATTCCAAGCGAAAATAAAATATTCTACAGTAATTGGTATCAAACTATCACAGAATTAGGGGTCAGAAACTTAATTTTGAGAAAGTAGAAATAGATGTAATAGTCACTTCCTGTTAGGATTGAAAACAGCTACTAAACCCACTTATCCAGAAAGTGGTATGCATATATTGTGTATGATTTCATTGTTGATTACAAATTGCAGTCTACGAAAACGTGTTAAATTTTAAGTGCTTAAAAACTTTTATTAGCATATCTTAAAATCATCTCGCTTTGAAATTTAGAGTGATTTGCAGACTTAGATAGATGTCACTGTCTTTGTGTTGCGTCATGTTCGATATGGGATGCGTGCTTTGTGTATGAAGCGTATAAAATACCTTGTTTATTTACACAAAATATCAACACATGCTGCGTGACATTGGTGCTTAAACTATGACAAGCATGTCTCAGTTGTGAATAGTTCATATTTGACACTAGAGGGCGCTCTTTGGAGTAAGGCTTTATATTTGTCCGTACTGATATCACTCATATAGTTTCCTCTTTTTCTACAGACTATCGCTTTCTTGAGGATGTTGACCGGAAAATTGATAATGTTGCGAGGGAAATGAGACACAAACACAGATTTATTCCTCGCTATGTAGGTTCACTCTACTTTTCTTGTAGTTGTTGTAAAATTATCTTAAAAGTTGGAATGATTTGTCACTGTACTCGAGATCTGATGTGACATATTGCATTGTTTTGGAGGTGATCCCGTGGCATATAGTACAAAGCAGTTTGCCATTGTTCTAAATTACTGTAGATAGCAGTAATTAAGGTTGTCATTGACAAAGTGCTGACATATTTCTCAGCATGAGTGCATACTGTAAAATACTTTATTTTCGCTTGGAAATAATTTTTTTTTTTTGCTGAAGGAATGATTAAGTGAAAATAAAATCCAGCAAATATACCTTTTTAGTCTACGTCCGAAAACGGGGACTTATGGTTTGCCCTGTGTGCGTTCGTGCTCACCTGGATCTTGAACATGCATGGACCGATTAAGTTCAAACTTCACTCATACATCACACATTTTATGGGACATATGCACATGCATTTTTTTCATGATCCGATTAACGATAGCCAAATAGCGGCCATTTTAAGGCCGAAAATGCATCAAAATCGCACATTTTCACCATTCCGGACCCAGATCTCAGTTATGCATGGATGGATTTTGTTCAAATTTGGTACATACATTAAACATAATAGGACCTTGATGCACGGCATTTTTTTTTTGATTGGGTTTGAAATGGCCGACTTGCGGCCATTTTATTTTAAAGAATTCAGTTCTGGATCCGTATCTGAGACATGCCTGGATTGATCGAGTTCAAACTTCACACACACAAGGTACATCATGTCACAAATATGTATGTGCATTTGTTTCATGATCTCATTAACTATAGCCAAATGGCGGCCGCTTTAAGGCCGAAAATGCATTGAAATCGCACATTTTCATCATTCCGGACCCAAATCTCAGTTATGCATGGACGGATTTTGTTCAAATTTGGTACATACATTAAACATATTAGGACCTTGATGCACGTCATTTTTTTGTTTTGTTTTTTGGATCAAGTTCGAAATGGCCGACTGGCAGCCATTTTGTTTTAAAGAATTCAGTTCTGGATCCGTATCCGAGACATGTCTGGATTGATCAAGTTCAAACTTCACACACACATGGTACATCATGTCACAAATATGTATGTGCATTTGTTTCATGATCCGCTTAACAATAGCTGAATGATGGCCATTTTAAGGCCGAAAATGCATCAAAATCACGTATTTTCACAATTCCAGAACCGGATCTCAGTCATGCATGGATGGATTTTGTTCAGATTTAGTACAATGTGTTGTACATATGCAGGTGTATTTCGGATCAGACTACTGAAAGTGGGCTGAGATTTCGGTCATGATCTGCTTTGAATGTATATGTCACTCAAATATGAACGGAACGGGGACGTGTCATTGACAATGACTTGTTTCCTATATTTTACATTCACCTAGTCGAAAATCAGAGAAAATAAATTTCATACAAAACACCAAAAAATGTTTTCAGCGAAAATTAATTCCAACTAAAATAAAGTATTTTACAGTATTCACTGCTGTAAGTTTGTCTCATGCTCATTAAAAAAATAATGATCTTGATTTCAAAAGTCAGCTATTTTCGATATATCTTTTGTAATCATTACACACAACTCTTTTCACAATTGCTTACTACAAGTTAACCAAGGCTTAACCTTTTTCCCACCAGTTCCCACTTTTCATCACAAATTCCCATTTATAGTCTGCACTTTCCTTCAGAAGACTAGGACAAAAATAGCCAAATCTTTTGTTGGCTCCAAAATCGGGGTTCAGTTTCAGAAATATCGAAGTGCAGAAAAAAAATGGGTGAGAAAGTCTGGGGGTGAAAAGGTTAACTACGCATACTAATTTATCTGTTGATGTTCTTTGGTTTTCGATGTTCATTTCACAGTTGATGAATCTAATCCGTGCAGCTAAGTCCAGGAAAACAACTCTCAAGATCTTACCATTTGTGTTCACAAAACGAAAAGAGAATTCCACAATTTGGTTATCAAGGTAACTTAAACTCGGACCATCTATTTCTGTGTGTGGTGCAGCATTGTGAATTAAACACGCAGTATTGTGCAAACAGGATTCAAATCTTGCAATTCAAATTAAGCAATGATTTCAAACTACAGTCAGTGATCAACATTTTCATCATGCAAGCACATATACTGTGAGTGTATCAATGACTTGATCACACTCTTTGTTTAACAGTTACCTTCTTAATTGCAGACAAAAACAACTTTTGTGGCACGTTGAGTTGATATTTCCACACTGTGATGTAAAATACAGTGAACGAAGGTAAGATTGAGAAACACATGATTTTTTTTTTGTCTTTTTGTGTCACGGTTTGTTACCAGCCGCTGTGATGTACCCTTACTAATTTCTACTTTCACTTTATTTGTAGAGTCTCTGAGAAAATCTGTCTTAGAACCCTTCTAGAGAAATACTTGCATCCAGTGAATAGTGACCCAGTTATAAGACATAGGTAAGGACAGAGTACACATATATTGATGATGTGTCATTTATTGAGTAACAGATTTTCTGCAGATGACACTTCTGCAAAAGTTGTATTTATAATCCTTGAGGAATGATTGTATTTATCATGTGATCCGGTCGTATCGAATATGAAAGCTCATGACTGTGTCACTTTAAAATTAATGCATCCTAAAACCAGCACAGAATGCGTAATCAATTTATTGGTTGTACTTTTGCTTTTGTTTGACATCAGGTTAAAACAATACGTTTTAAGAGGATTTGATGAAATCAGAATTGTTATGAAAGTAGAAAGAAGAATGGCCAAGTCTACAAGGTAATTGTTATTCTATTGCTAGAATCAGGCATTACAGATGTTTTTTTTATTAAGGAATGCCCTCATGTTGAATTCATGGATGGTGGATGCGTAGTCCAAACCTCACTTGTCAATGAGTTCTAGACCATCAAGCCTCATTTTTATATCAGAATAACAGGCGCCCTCAACCTCCAAGTTGAGTTCATAGATGGTAGTTGCATAGTCTCAGCCTCTCTTGAGTTCTAGACCATCAAGCCTCATTTTGATATCAGAATTATGGGGCGCCCTCAACCACCAATTTGAATTCATATATGAATAAAATCATGTTCTCGCCTCACTTTTGTGTCAGACCATCAATCCTCATTTTGTTCAAAACAATTTACTGTAAAATACTTTATTTTCGCTTAGAATTTATAATTTCGCTGAAGGGACGATTCAGTGAAAATAAAATCTAGCGAATATATCTTTTTTCCTATATTTTACATTCCACTCATCCAAAAATCAGTGAAAATAAACTCCATAAAAAACACCCAAAAAGACTTATCAGCAAAAATTAATTCCAGCTAAAATAAAGTATTTTATAGCAGTCATTTTTGGAAATTTATATTGTGTTTGTTTATTTATATTAATCATTTGCAGGTATATGTTGCTAGATTTAGACAGATCCTTGGAAGAGAACTTGGCTTCTAAATATATTGTGGAATATCCCTCATTGTACGTAATATTAGCGGATCATATCAAAGATTATCCAATCCTGGGTGAAGGTAAAACATTTCTTGCATACTGCATATGTTTTGTTAGTCAGTGTATTCAAGTAAACCGAATGGTAACAAAAACATGTACGTTATGTTTTTATAGACATTTTATTGGCAAAATGTGTTACTTTCACAGACTTTCACAAATTTGCATTGGAATTCTCAACGTAGGTTTCTCTTGTGATTTTGTGATTGTAAACTGAGAACAGACTTCTCAAGGTAGAGTGAACCAGGTGAATATTGGTCACCAAATCGAGAGGAGAATATCGCACTGGAGAGGAGCACTTGTAGCTAAGGTGTTTATTACTCAACTGCTAGGCCTGGAACGGAGTCTAAATACTCACGTGATGTTCCATACAATGTATCAATATCATTATGCAAATAACTCAACTAAACGTCATAGCCTCAAATCATTACAGTGATCATCTCGCAGTTTGCATAACTTCTTAAAGTCACAGGAGATGTTCATTGCATATCACATCCTTGCATAAATTTACTCTATAAATCCTTGATATTTATCAGTAGTAGTATTCACTGAAACATTTTCATGCACTACAATTGCATGATAAAATAGAGTATAAATAAATATGAAAAAAGTTGTATATTTAGTTTTAATCTTGTGACTTAGAGATGTGCATAGCATACAATGTGCCTGTCAACAATATAGCTTGCAATGTTGGTGTTGTCCTTAGATATCCAAAACAATACAGGGTTCATAGCGTTGAGAAAATCTTTTGAAAGTCTTTGGATTTTTTGAGGTCGGGAAAGTCTTTGAGTTGTCTTTAAATTACAGGGAAAATAAAAAAATCTTTGAAAAGTCTTTAAATTTCTTCATAGTTATTACATGTAATTCATTTTATAAAGGCCTGTTCTCTCCAGGGAACTACCATATCCTCAGAACTTTGATGAGCTTTGGTGATGATGTTGGCCTGAATTAAGGGTCAAAATGTCTTAGAAAAATGCAAGAAAGTTTGGGAAAATTGTCTTGGAAACAAGTCTTGGAAATCATTTGGCTCTTGGTGCTATGGAGCCTGCAATACTACACTGACAATAAATACCTAATTCTGATAACAAATATACCAGAACTCATTTCGGTGACTTTACTAGTGACTCGCGCTATATCAAATGTAAACTTGAAATCTGTTTTGGATTCTGACTACAATAATGTGTACATTTGAACGAATATTGAGAAATAATAGTGATTTATTAGAAAGATCAAATCTAGTATTAATATGATTTCATGATATAAATTATAAATTTTGGGCATGTTCATTTTGTCCAATCATAATTGCGTGTTCGATTACACTTACTCATATGTAACTCGCATATCTTCAAAAAGTTTACCATTTTCAGCCAGCAGTACGCAAACATATAATTTGATAAAAGAATTTCTGCTATTTTTGTGTACTTTGTCACTTTATATTTCATTAAATTTAAGTGTCAGGATAAAACTATCACGTGAATGATGATTTGTCTTGTTTTGAGCTCCAGGAATAACATCAAATTAATGATAATCAAGATCGTTCAATTTGAATTCACCTCTGAGTATTGGCAATATGATTTACATAATATGGTATGTCTCTTGTAGTTAACTGTTCTATATAATTGGAGCTCTAAACAAGACAAATCATGAATACAAATTTCTGATGTAATCTAAATCACATTTAGATTTTCATAATTCATGTTTTGTTTTGTTTTAAATTGGTGTCTAGATAACGAATTTCTCTGATTCTGTTTATAATTCTAGTGAAAACAGATTGTAGCAGTTCCAGTAGTGACACAGACTCCTCCAGTGATAGCGAGAGTAACACCAGTGGTAGTATGCATGATGTTGCACCTGACAGAGGGAGGGTGAATAGTAATGGAGACAGTCCTTCGAATGATTCAAAGGACTTAAAAGGGAAGCATAACAAGCAGGAATGTGAAAGAAAAGGTATTAAACAGAATGATGCTGATGATTTTAGCGATATACTTTGTGGAAATATTAGCGTGACAAGTATGGAGGCTGTAAACAAAGTGACAACAGTGAACTTGATGGATGATGTGAACTTGTTAACAAAGGGAAATGAAGGACAAGACCATTATGACCGACCAAGAGAATCATGTACTGAACTTGAGTCCACGAGAGATGAGAAAGTCGAGATGGATTTAAATTATGATTGTGACGTGAAGTAAGACCAAAAGATGTTAGATTGAAAGGAGTTGTGAATTTGTAAATGCATTTGTTATTTGAAAGAAACAATTGTTTAGTGAAAGAGATTTGTTTGTAGGATTTCAGAAACATCTCTGAACCAATTTTGGTACAAATCTGTGCATAATATTTAGCTTAATTTGTATATTAAGCATTCTTGTTCCATTGCTATCTCAGTGTACAATTATTCAGTTCAAATGAAATTTAATAATCAGATGCTATGGCACAATTACAAAAATACTTTTTGGTTCAAATATGTGCATACTAATTAGCTGAATTTACATAATTGTATTCAAAGACAGCATTTTGAAAGACGAATGCTTTTTAAGGCAAGGCCTTTTCAGGTATCATTTTTGCACATTCAAAATAAACTCACTACACAACAAATACAAATATTTGCTTTTATTAAGATGTTTTTTTTATTTTACAGTCATGTTGCTAGTTTGTGCATATTTTAACTTGTGCAGCAGTGACAATGTTCATTGTTTTTTGTTTTGTTTTTTTACAAAAATAAAATGACAATGCAGTTTCCACTGTAAACAAAACAACTAGGACTAGTATATTTCACTTTGAATGATGTTGCAGAAAATGCAGAAAAGGATGTTTTCTCACTTTGTATTATCTGCAGAACACATCCTACTGATTATTGTGATAACCATGAAAAATGATAAAATCAGTTGGTATGGTAACAAATGTCTCATCACCAAATGAAACATAATTATTATTGCTGTAATCGCTCAAAGCCACTGAACTTTATTTTAAGAAATCTTCTAAATTTGAATTCAGGATTGTGTTGGATGAGATTTCTCATAAACCCACAAAATCCAAAGCTATAACGATATGCTCACATGGATCACGTAGGTTTTCTGAACTTACATTTGCAATTTGTAAGATTTTTTTGAGCTGTTTTAAATAATTTTGTTTGATATTACATTTTGATAAAAACATTAGGGAATGGTTATTGCAAGATAAATAATTTAATAACAAGTTGTAAATGACCTGTACATGTAGGTAAATTAGAAACACATGGACATTTAGAGTTTGGAAGCATTTCTGAATTTACTTGCTTGTGAAACAGTTTTATATTATGAAAAATCATTCCCTGATATTTTTTTCAATTTGTAATATTGTAACAAATTATATTTTAAACATTTTGAAAGTTATCAACATTGCAGCTTTAAGTGATCTGAAAACGATGACACTTTGTTACACTCCCACATTGTACAGGTAATCTCAGACATTTCAGCTGCGACTGCATCTACATATGTAAGGTGAAATGTTGCAGACATAAAAATATAGAAAATTATGTCATTAAGCAATTCTAATCTTTGTGATACTTAAAATATTATCATTTTCATTCATGGAATATTCCTCTGTTGAACCATTGAATGAATTGATGATTGCCATGGCATTCAGAACTGCAGGCTTAAAAGGCTCTTGGGATGCGATTGGCCTGCAATTTATGCGAGTACAGTACAGTAGTCTATGATCTTTGAGGTAAATGCGTAGACTTTCGTCCCTAGTTCCTGGACAATGCTAGTTAGGCTGACCAATTGTCTGTAGTCATTACGGTTAAATTAAACATCATTTCGGATGATGAAGATGAAAATAATAATGTGATTCAGAAAAATAGATGACAATCTTTCAATTTGTATTGTATGTGCTATTATTCACATTCAATTCATTTAAATATTTGATCTTTTTGTCGAGAAGAGCTAAAAACTCCTCAAGACGCATTGTTTTCATTTTTCACTCCTGGTCACGACGTCAATGTATTGAAAAGACCTTGTGTCCATTTGCATGTTTCTGTGCTGGTACATATTTTCCATCTCTCTTGTAATTTTCAGAATTGTTCCAGCCAATCTTACTTAAAATACATAGCTGTTTACTTTGTGTCTGTGTCAACACGGTCGACATTGACATTGAATAATCTGTTGATAGTCATAAGTCTGTATTGATCCATCGGGACACAACATATCCAGTTTCAACGTTCTTGCCACAGAGGGCGTGCAACACTTATTTTTACATCGTCCACAATATATAGCGGCAAACCGGCGCACGCTAGTGCATCCAATATAACGAAGAGTCACTTGATTTGTAGTCTTTACTGTTGGTTCACAAGTCGACTCAAAAAACTGAAATAAAGCAAGAAATGATTTCATGTAATGCAACAATGTTTTAGAATGAACTATGACAGCAAAATACTTTTTTAGCTAAATGTGTCTCGAGGGAAAAAAAATTGCCTGCTACTTTAAAAACAAAGTAAAAACTGTATGTTGACACTAGAGAACGCTCTTAAAATACTTGCCTTGTAGTCTGAATTTAAATCTCCTGTGAAGCACGGCCTCAGTTGACAGAGCTTAACATCTGTCGATAGCGTACAGTCTTTGCCAGGCCTTTTGATTACACGTGTTGCTACGCCCATACCACAACTACGAGAACATTCACTCCATTCCATGTCTGTGTCCTTGCAGTAAGTTTCTGAAATGAATTGCAGTTATATTAATTACAAGTTGAAGAAAAAAATTGGTATAAAAACGAAAGTGTTATTATTTGATGACTGAGGGCGCTAGTCATATTGCATTCTTCGCACATGCATGCACATTCTATATAGAGGATGTGATGTTGCATGGGGGACGAGATCTGCTCACCCTCCGGGAAATATTGCAGTCTAGACCCACTGAAACGCTATTTCCTGCATTTTGAGGGGCAAGGCAGACATTCCTCTTAAACTGTGTTGCGTCGACACAAGTACACAAAGGGTTTCAGCTTGATTGCCCCCCCCCCCCCCCACCTGGTGCCGCCGCCACTGGTATCGCTCAACAAAAAAGCCGTGCAGTTCTGAAGCAGAACAGGCTATTTGTCTGCTTTTCCGGATCCCCAATACGTATTAGTCCCTCTATTAGAAAGGGATGCCATCTTAATACAAGAATGGTTCACATTTGGAATAAAAGTAAACATCATATATTGTCAGTTCGTGGGACGAGCCTCGCGAACATGCTATTAACGCATACCTTCCGTATGTACATTATTCATACACACATGGCCGATTGAATGCCATATTTTTTGTCTATTTCTAATGTACACTGGTTGGATGGAATGAGTTTAATATTCGTGTGAGAACCGTACAGTATTAAACGCCACGACCATCGCACTTTTTAAGTTTAAACTGAAATTTATTACGTTTGACTTGTGATTTGTTTTATTTCTATGCGGGTAAGCATTTATAGTTAGTATACTTAACCATAGAATATAAACACTAAAAATGAATCCAGGGAAAAATCGACTGGTTGACAAATATGGATCGGGTTTTTGTGAGATACAAAATGTAACAAGAAAGTATGTAAACTGAACTTTTTCTGGTGGCGAATTATTTCCATTGATCACGTGAGGATGGAGTTTGTTGACCGTAAATCGCAAAAATTGGGGGGGGGGTCAAAAATATCGGCTGGACCGTGAAAATGGGGGTCCAAACTATACTTCAACTATAGGAGTACCTCTCTCTCCCTTCGGTGTGCGGTAGACACCAATTCTTAAAGCGCGGCGGTCGTCGCCCGGCGCGTGCTCGAATTTCATGTAAATAAACAATGTATTTTACACGCGTTGTATACGTCGCTATGAGTCCCATATCGAACAGGACGCGGCGCGACGACTACCACCCTTTAAACAATTACCTTCTTGGAGCCTCTGGGACGGCGCTGACAGGCACATCCACTCCTTGCAACAATGTCCAGATATCGAGACCAGTTGCAGATCGATACAGTCTAGCGATGGCATGAACAGTTCGTGGGGACAGGTCGACGTGCAGGCGTACGCATCACCAACACAAATACATTGCTCACGGCAGGATGGCTCAAAAGAGTCTCCGTCCTGGTATCTTACACCTTTTACCACACAATCTGCTTGTACAAACTGAAATAAAGAGGATGGAAGCAAGAAAGTATGTGAATATTGAAGTACAACATTGTATAAAATAACAAAACTCAATACAAGTAGTTTACGTCCTGTTCTGGTAGGTTTTGTCTACGTCGTTTTGAGTGAATCATTCCATCAGAAACAAAATACTAAAGTTCAATTCTGTTCATGTGCAAGTGATAAATCATAGTCATTATTTATAAACCTTGCTTTTTTATATTTACAAACAAGCAAAGTATACTGTAAAATACGCCTTTTGGCTAGCATGTTACTTTAGCTAATTTAGCTAATCTGTAATTTCGTTTATTCAAGATGTAGCTAATGTAAGAGAGTATATTCTCAAAATTAGATTATTGGCGCTCAGACTTTAGCTGAATAATTCATGTATTTCGTCGCTAGCGGGCGCAACTTACTAGGGAATGCATTTGATCTCAAACAACTGATAAATTTATTATTAACTTATTTATTAGTTGTATGAGATTGGATAAGGGAACTTTGGTCAGTTCCACTCGAATCGAACGTTATTTCCCAAGACACGCAGCGATGTTACAATTTGAAAAGGGCAACCGCATTACGGACGTTCGCGGTCAGCTGTGTATAATTATTTTGTCAAGGCAGCAGAACGCGGCGAAACACCTGTTCATTTCAACTCAGTCGATTTCAGTAGCGAGCGAGTACTGTTGGTTGTGTAATTACGGATGGCAGAAAGTGTCGCCCACAGGGTCTTGTAAACTTGCTATGTCGAAGTTACCGGGACGTAACTAAAGCGAAACTTATACAGTGAGTGTAACTTTGTACATATTCACTGTTTTCCAAAACAATCACATACAATGTGTTGAATATATTGGCCAAAAATTCTCGATGACTCACTGTATATGTAAACTTTTTTCCATTTTCCCAACAATGATTAAAAAACACACTGAATACCAATCTGGAACGAAAGTAATCACCATACATGGTTTCCCATAGAGTAAAATCAGGAGTCTTGCAGGTGTCACACACTCAGTAAGGAGTTTTTAACGGTTGTACGCAGACTTCTTTTTACAGTGTACGTAACCGGATTTACATGTACCGGCGCCAACCTAGTGTGTCAGTTACAGACAGTACAACAATGGACACTTCTGTTAGTTGCTATGGAAATAACGTCATTATCTAGTAGACATGCATTGCATAAAAAAACAAGTTGGACTAACAAACCCCGGAAGGGATACAGCAACTTAATCACTTACCTCAGAAAGTGAAATCAAGACGAACGTCAACGACACGAGCAACAGGTGGCTTTCGTGATCCATTCTACGAAGACTACGTTGTACCAACTCTTAAAATACTTATCGTCTCAAGGTCTTCCGGGGGCAACCAAATACGATCTCTGATCATGAATTGTAATGTTCCGGTACAGGTAGTGGCATGACAGCTGCGCCCATCATGGCCGTCTACGCCCCACCTAATGATTTGGTTTGAATATGTACAGGAAGTGTCCGGCAGCTCAAATCTATGAATTCAAATCAGTGAGAAATCGAAATAGTTGTTTAGGTTAAGTATACAAAACACAATGGACGGCAGTGTAATCAATACTAGTGTAAAATAACAACTATTTGAAGTGAATTTTTCACGCTGTTTTACCGCTTGTGTGGCGAGAAACGAACACCGCCACTATGGTGGATGATCTTTCTAGTACTAGAATGCACAATCTGTGGTCCCGACCATGGTGAACGGATCGCAAACCGACGTACACATGTGAATTGTCAATTATTTAACAAATTAATCAACGTACGATCCATCATTGGTATACAACATGGATGTATCCGAGGACAGACTGTGCTATATAGAAAAGTGTGCGTGGAATACTTAAAAGAGGTCGAACAGGTTTCTGACTTCGAGTGGGCCCACTCAACGTAGGGCGGCATGGTGGTTTTAAGTTGCCATGACTAAGGCACAGCCATTCACGTGTGAGACATCAAGAACAAGTACGTATGTTGAATGAAATGAAATGCCATTTGGTCTGTATTCAAGCCATGGTCGCTAATAATTCCCCGCACAAACGCCCTGTTCTAATCTATTGAGGTCACGGACGTGAGATTATGATATATAGCGACTTACACGACACATGGAACTCCCAGAAAGTTACAATTAACACATACGCTACCTACCCGGGGAAAGTCAATTGGTTTATACCATTCCCTTAGAAAGACCGCTCTCTGGTTTTGGGTAGAAAACCAAACTTTTAAATAGGTACCGACGTAACAACACCGAACACAGTCTATTTAACTGCACCAGTTTGACACGGAGAAGTCCGAATGTTGTAAAGACCGCTATTTGTATGGGCGAGGGGAACTCAGTACATCGCACAAAGGGGCTGTTCACTACCTGCGTAGAGGACAAACAAAGGTAGGTACTTTATCGCCCATGGGTCCTGTAGACGGCGTTGTATGAGTCGAGTCTTGTATAATTCTGACATCAATTAAAAAAGACAAATGCTGAATGGCCAGAGTTGATTGGGTGTGTTCAAACACTACCTCTTTCATACAGTTTTCAGTAATTCATACACAGCGCCGACCTTTCTCATGTACCTTTAAGCGAGACCGTAAATAACCTGCGAAGTATAGACGACCGCATGTCCGGTGTAAATACCCTACAGGCATTTGTGTGGAAGAGTTAATAAAACAAACAACGAAAAGAGGGATACACATTGTTGACGAAGCAGCGTGCCCTCACTCGACCAAATATCAATGATATACAACAATGTGATGGAACTTTAGCATAATTGTTTTGATAAAAACGCATTTACGGAAGATTCACAGTTTAGAGCCTCTGATTAATGATTATTCATATAGCTCATTAATATTCATCACCGACCGGCACTTCCGATGGGCTGGCGAGATCCCTGAGAGGAATATCAAGTCACATATTACTGAGCTTATAGTTAGAATTATCTGCATGAGACTATACACAACTTGCGAAGTATTAGAAGATGAAATCCACTTCATCACATCTTGTAAAGTTTACTCTTCTGAAAGAAAAAAAAAACTCTTTACGATTAATTCAACAAAATATTTACTAATTTACATGAGATGGACAAAACAGAAAACATTCAAGACAATCACCAATTTATCCGATAAACATTTACTGAAAACACTAATCCAACTTTTATTATAATTAATGTGTGTTCATGTTTATTAATTTTTACTAGTGTAAAATAACAACTATTTGAAGTGAATTTTTCACGCTGTTTTACCGCTTGTGTGGCGAGAAACGAACACCGCCACTATGGTGGATGATCTTTCTAGTACTAGAGTGCACAGTCTGTGGTCCCGACCACGGTGAACGGATGGCAAACCGACGTACACATGTGAATTGCCAATTATTTAACAAATTAATCAAAGTACGAGCCAGCATTGGTATACAACATGGATTTATCCGAGAACAGACTGCGCTTTATAGAGAAGTGTGCGTGGAATACTTAAAAGAGGTCGAACAGGTTCCCGACTTCGAGTGGCCCCACTCAACGTAGGGCGACATGGTGGTTTTAAGTTGCCATGACTAAGACACAGCCATTCACGTGTGAGACATCAAGACCAAGTACATTATGTTGAATGAAATGAAATGCCATTTGGTCTGTATTCAAGCCATGGTCGCTAATAATGCCCCGCATAAACGTCTATTCTATTCTATTCTATTTGTGTAAAATGGAATCTAAAGAACATGGACCTGGTTGGTCAAAATATAATTCCCATAATTTCCATTTTTAACGGACTGAGCTGAACATAGTTCACATACTAAAGAACACAGAAGTATCAAAACAGCAATAATTCAAGACAAGCAAATATATATATTGGGGGTATCATCGGAAAAATACAACAAGGTTTGCACCAATCGCCTTGATATGTTAGTTTGCTATGTTAAACCATGGAAGGTAGTAGGGGGAGACACTCAGGCTCCCTGGTTACTTGTATATCACAAAGACAGTACGGCAGCATGCACGTTTACTCCGTGTACAATTGCGTAACGCGAAATGTAAACATTCACACAACATTTCCAACTTACTCGCAGTATACTACTAGTATTTAAATTTTAAACATAGCATAACTATTACAACCTTGTCCATTGAGAATCTAGATTACATAACAAATGGATGGATGGATAATAACTAATGATGCACAATCTTTTCTTTGCATGACAAAAGTGACTATAAAACAGTTCTCACAAAAACAACGAATATATTTTTGTTTCCCAAATAATACTACATATACTGTATTAAAGTAAAATAGTAGAACAGCAAATACGGTGAAATACTTTATTTTAGCACCTCATCAGGGTCTATGATTTTAGCTGGAATTATGTTTCGCTGAAAAGAATTTTTGGGTGTTTCGTGTGGAATTTATTTCCACTGATTTTTGACAAGTTGAATGTAAAATATAGAAAAAAATGGTATATTCGCTGGATTTTATTTTCACTGAATCATTCCTTCGGCGAAAATTAATTCAAAGCGAAAATAAAATCTTTTGCAGTAGCTTTGAGGCAAAATTTGCCAAGAAAAGTACTAGTCGTGTCCCTCAATTAATACATGTACTGTATTCATCTCGGTATCCCTGCAGATTAATATAACACGAAGTTCATAAAATAAAATGGCCCCCGTCTACGTTGATACAGACAAAGAAATAAATACATACAAATATCTTTAGAAAACGTAAGTTGGCTGTGAAATACAAACGTTCCGAGTCGGTAATTGAACTGATGGTCAGGTCCAGAAAGGTACTCCCATACATCGTCTGATATTCCCCGGACGCCAGTCACGCGAAACCACGTGCCAATTACTTCAGTGTGGTAACATGAGGTGGAGTAACTACAAGTGTAAGATAGTATAATAATATGTTTTTTCGAAAGCTCTATACGCAGACAGTTTAATCTCTAATAATGAACCATTTGCGACGACTGTACGCAGATAGAGGAACGCTGTTTTTTGTTTGAAAGAGAAGGGACACTTTACAATAACAATTGCCGAATTGTAATATGGGATGTACATGTATAGCCTCGTTCATACATGACGACAAACACAGGACTGAACCACATTATAAACGCGCTTTACTACTGGATTAAAGCAGGGGAGTCGTCACCTGAGCATGCGTCAGATGGCCATAGCGTGTCATTGTTTACAAACAAGCGTCTACCCATAAGCCTTTTGCATTTTTAGCGTGTGTTGTTATCGTCGCTTGGGACTAAATTCCCGCGCATGCGCAGGTGACGACCCTCCCGCTTGAAACCAGAGCTCTGTACATATGTCGCAGTGCTTTAAAGCGTGGTGTTCGTCGCGCAGCGCGTATTCAAATTTCATGTAAATAAACAATGTATTTTACACGCGTTGTATACGTCGCTATGAGTCCCATATCGAACAGGATGCGGCACGGCGACTGCCGCCCTTTAAATTATAGCGCAAGTAGTATTTCACAAAAAGTCGCGAGAATATTGTATTGCAGCATAGACATACATTCCATGATTCCAGGCGGCGTCGACATCATTTAAACGGGCAGTTGTTATTTATTTAAAGATACTGAAGAAATGCATAATTTGTTGGCAATGTGAACGTCTAATAGATTTCACATTGAAGATGATTACCGCACTTACTACTTGTATGTTTCAGTCATTTTAGTGGCAGTGGTTGAAATTTAGTGGTAGGGGGATTTAACATGTCAAATGCTATACATGTATAATGAACACCAAATTTTAAACGAAAATAATCACAAAAGTTACGTCTGAGAACACAACTTTCAATAACTTGCACAGTGCTTTTACTCATGTCTGTTCTTGGTGAAGAATAGTATGTTCTTGTTCCACTTTACCGACAATGCGTACGTTTTTATATGGTTATATATTCTGATTGCTTGGAACAGTATAGCAGATAGATAAATAAACTCTTGCACTTTGGTGATTTACCACCATGTATTACATAATGTGGCATGCCTTTAAAGTTCATACATCGTTAACTGATTTGGTCATGTATTGTATTACGTGTTTTGTTTATTGAGGTCTTGTGTCGTGTACAGTTAGTAATCCAGGTTTTCAAAATTTTAGTTCCACGCAAGCATTTACACACTGAAGGAGTTTTTTGGGACGTTTTTTCAAAGATCTGAATGTACTCCCTAAACAAGTTTTTGGGACGTCTTTCAAAAAATCGAATGTACATCTTAAATGAGTTTCTTTGAACATCTGTGAGAAATTCAAATGTACACTCTAAACAAGTTTTTTGGAACGTCTTTCAAACATTTGAATGTACTCCC